AATGGATCGCTGAGGTGCGCAAACCGTCACACAACGGTAAGGTGCAGTCTCTTCGTGACGGTGCTGGTGCTCCGTTGTTTGATGTTGAGGGTCTTCAGGTCGGGGTGACTAAGTTTCACAATGTATTTCTGTTCGCTTCCGTCCGTCTTATCTATGGATTTTCAAACCTATTTCCTTCATGCAGAAGTTGGTTTATGGGTCACTGAGCTTCCTTTCAGTTGTAACGGCTTTGCCTTGAGGTCATGTATATTGTTGCGTGCGGAGGAGCTGGATACTTAGTTTTTTAATTCTACCCTTCAACCCTGTTGCTGAGCTCGAGGCCACTCAAACAAACTTACTGACCGGAAGGTCTGTGGTTTAATCCGATCTCGGTGCCTGGATTGATCCTCTAGGCTTGGGTAACCTGGCGGTATCTCAGCTTTCATGTTTCTTTCGTTGTTTTAAAATGCAAGTTTTGCTGTAGTGCAAAGAGAGCAGCGACACTCCGCAGTACGGAATAGCGACGGCAAGTAGAAAAATACCTGTACCACGTAGTTACAAATAACAAGTATCTCATAAATTCCATTAGATACTTCAAGATTGTTATCGTCTTCCCACCACCCCCTTTAGTAACGGAGAGCAGAATGTCAAATTGATTAGATGGGTTGGAAATGGGTAACACTCATTTCTTTGAATCTCCTCTAACGTGCTTTTTCTCGAAAAGTTCCAATTAAGCAATCTGCTTTGTGCAACAATTGTTTTACAACCCATTTGAACCAGGTGGTGTGCGGAGTGCGCACAATTAAAAGCCTTACCTTCATCGTTCCCGCCACTGCGCAACATTTATTGTATTCTTGAGTAGAGCCACTCCGCATTGTTTCCATTTCAGTTCGTCTCGGATTTACGGGCTGTAACTTCCTCCCAGTCCGTTTCGATTTTTTTCACATCAATGTTCTAAATGACCATTTCAGCACATCGTGTCACACAATGGGCCTCACTGAAGTTGCTGACCATATTTTCGGACGAAGGTTTGATACGTCCAAGTGGCCTTATTTGCGCATTATAATCGCAGTTGCTACTCACGAGGCTCTTGGACTCGGTATTTTGGTTGGTTTTTGGGTTGGATGTTATAAGTTCCAACCGCTGCGTCAAATCATATACCGCGCCCCCGACCCCATTCGGGCTAGTTACGATCGGTAAGCAGTCCCGGTTTTACCGTTATTGATTTGCCTGAAATGTGGGTTATTTGATGCGTGGCAAATACCATATTCGTTAATTCTCTAGCCAGCCACGCTTCAGTATGTTCTAATGAGTTTTTAAAATTGTGAAGCTTGTGCCTACTTGACATTGAAAAGCCTTACCACCTGGAGGAGTCTAGATACCGATATACCTCAGAAACTTGCATGTTCATCAAAAAAATTCGCAGTTTCGGAGAAGGTTGTGAAACAGTCCATTCATCTTACTTGGAAATTGGTGTAGAGGAAGGCTGGTGAGCTAAGAGTGTTAAGTGAATCACTCACTATTCATAGGTTACGCCGTTAAGACATGTACTCTGCATGCCAGAAGACCGTCTGCCCCTCAGAGCTCTTTTCGCTTAGCCCTGTGTTGAGTGGAAAAGACCAATAGGTGGACAGTGTATGACCTAGCAACGAAGTACGAAAACACTACCCAGGAAACCGAGTCATGTTGACAACTGCTGCCTCTCTGGATGGGAACCCCGGGACTCAACCCACCGATGGTTACTAACACTGGCAGAAATGGCCCAATCGCGCAGTCAGTGGCGCTCGTGCATTACAGCTATCGCCTTTAATACATAGCCGCCTAGTTCCCGAACTATACAAACAAACCGTAGGGCCATGTTCCTGATCCATAAAACAGTATGGGTCACACTGTTATGGTGTATACTCTACTCTCGAGAGACAAACTGACGCCGCGTTGGCAAAAGCTGCCCTGGCCTTCCCGATTCGAGAAGCGATCTCATCTCTAGCCGGTCTACCAGCACTTGCACGTTTGTTTAGATAGCAATGAACAAATCTGATGCGTTTTAATATTAATTTTAGCCGCCAGGCTTGTGGAATGCAGCAATTGTGTTCAGTTATCCTTCACACAAAATTCTGAGCTGTGTCATGCATGATACTCTTTCTAGCTGTTTGTTAGGCGGAATCGCACACGGATCCAGCTTTGCCGTTCGCAGTCAGGCGCTTGATGGGCGTTGGACACTTGTTGAATTTTTCTTTCCGAGGTCTACAGCTCGCGGTCGTTGATTGAAGCGTATGTAGTCCTTGCCTCTGTCCAGCTCGATATTTTCACCATACAGAATATCTCAGTATCGAGTGCTCATGTCTTAGTATCCTGTTATTTCAACTTTCATGACGATCAGGTGGTACAACGATTGATGTTTCTTGTGTTGCACCGGATATTTAGGGGCGACGATGTAAGTGCAAAGCAACCAGATAATTCCATGTTCAATGGTGCTGTATGGCAGCAGGGCTCGTCAAGCTATCCATACATCCTGGATCATTTTGTATATCCATTTAGATTAGGTAAAAAGGCTGACAAACTCGGTAGTACCGATTTTTTGCCTTACTTTGGCCTACTTAGCTTTGAACTTCAACAATATGGGTTGATGTAGTCGTAAACGGAGAAGTGCGGCCCGGGGAAACCTATGGCGATCTGAGTCCGAACGATCGTGTGAAACGTTCACTGAACCTGACTCAATGTACACGGAGGACAGGAACATAGCTGAATGATGCGCTAGTATACCAGGTGTTCACAGCATGCATCTGGACAGTCTTCCAATTCCAATTAGGCGTCCGGTGTGTTTTGCTAATATTGCCAGTCCTTAGATAAGCCGAGTTGACACGTGACGGTGTGGTTGTCAATCCACTTAGGATCATTAGAAAAAACCGGGGGGCAGGGGTGGAAACCCCAACCGACCAAAGGTCACAGCATCCCTTCTACACAACTTTCTTAGCACTAGCTCACCCACAC